TGATCGAGAACACGCGTGCCAGAACTCCCCCTGTTCTTACACTTCGTCGCGCCAGCATGCCGCTGAAAACGACGCTGGATGTAACCACCCTGGTCAGTGGGGATCAACTGATATCAGCACTTCGCTGCGGTGAAATGGTAACTTCGGTCGGTCGAGCGGCGTCTCTGCAACTGGCCCCATCGCCAACTTGAGAATCTTCGTCAGCGAGGCCTTGCGACCCGTTCGGCTGGCCCTCGTACCCGCGATACTTACGAAAGACAACCTGCCTGTCAGATCTCTCTCCATTCGCTCCAGGAAGCAACAGGGATAATTATCGACAGCGCGCGACAGAACAACGTCACGCGCCGCGACCAGGTCGCGCGCCATGCGCGTGCTGATGCATCGCCCCCCTCGCGCAAAAAGCGCCACCCCACCCCTTGCCAAACTTGGTCGTCGCAGCCACACCGGGCGTCGTGCTGCCGCCCAGGACCGGTGGATAGCGCTACCCCGTTAACGGGATGGACGCAATTTCCGACGTTGGCGTCGTCGGTGGCGTCGGCGTCGCCCAGCGTGACGGGCGTCGCCGTGCGCCTCGTCGCAGCGCCGCGGGCGGCGACGCGGCGCTTCAGACCCCGGCGCTGCGCGCCAGGGACAAAACCGAAAAAATACCCAGCTGCATATGGACCGCGCAATCCTGTCGGCGGCTGACCTCCGAGGCCGACCGTGCCATTGGACTGCTGTGGCGGTGCTGCGCGGCTTCCTCTGCCTCTGCCGCCGCGGACATCTAAGACCACGCTGCTGCTGGGGAAGCGGCGACGACTCGGCCCTGGCGGAGAGCGCGCAACCGCGGGCGCGCGCACGCGACCGCAGGGGGCCACCACTTTGCCCCATCAGCAGGAGGCCCGGCGACGAGAACGGCCTCCCCCCCAAAGAGGAGGCAAGGGGGCCCGGCAGCGCTGCGCCAGGCCAGCGGGGGGAGAAATGGAGGATGACAGGGAGGACGCATGAATGCCCGCGCTTCTAGTTTAAAGATCCCCCCCCCGGGGGTCCAGGCGCGCCGCCAGGCGGAGGGGGAGGAGGAGGAGGAGGATGAGGAGGAGGAGGAGGAGGAGGAGGAGGAGGAGGAGGGGAGAAGGAGGAGGAGGAGGAGGAGGAGGAGGCGGAGGAGGAGGAGCCAGAGGAGGAGGAGGAGGAGGAGGAGGAGGAGGAGGAGGAGGAGGAGGAGGAGGAGCCACAGGAGGAGGAGGAGGCAGGGAGACAGGGGCGAGATGCCCGACGCGGCTGAAAACGGCCGACGCTGGGCACCGCCGGACGCGCGCGAGGAGCGGGGCAGCGCGTGCCCCGCACGCCGCTCTGGCAGGGCGGGCAGGGCGGGTGGCAGCCGAGGCTCGCCGCGGCCACGCCCCTCGGCCACGCGGCGGGGCGCAGTGCAATACCGGCGTCGAGGGGGGGGAGACTCAATGGGGGGGGGGGGGGGGGGGCAAGGGGGGGGCAGGTAGGGAGCCCACAAAGGACGTACGCGCCCAGCTATGTACATGAACACGGCCCCTCGATTCGCGAGACTGGCCGCGTTATACGAACATTTGTGCAATGCGTGCTCTCGAAACCAGCGTGGATTCATGTACATGTACGTCCTTCTTTCGCTCCTGAGGCACGGCGCTGGGACAAAGTCTGGTGTTCCCGGCGGCGGTGCGCATTGAAAGCCTGAGGCCCAGACCGACAAGGCGATGCTCCGCATGGGCACGAGCAGGAAGCCCAACGACCGCAGGGGAGCGTTGAAGATGGCCCCGATCCGTGGCATCGGCGGCCGCCCGCGCGATCGCGCAACTGGCGGGGCGCAAGTGGGTCAAATGGTCTCGAAGCAACGCCGGGGTCGGAGGGGCTAGTCGCGGAGAGGAGAGTAGGGGCAGGCTTGAACGCCTCATTGGGGGAGAAGGCGTCTCTCAGGAAGGATTGCGTAACTGGGAATGGGGGCAGTGGGATGCGGCTCCCCCGGAGCTCCATTGCGCCGCCAGTCCTTCTCCCCGAGCTCTCTCCTGCGTTTGGCGAGCTCCTCTGCCCGAGCTCGCCCCGCCCCTTTGGCGCTCTGCACCGCGCACTTAGGCCTCGCGCGCCCCGCCCAGACGCGGGCGAATCGACGGCGACGCGTCAAACGCCAGGCCGCGGCCTGCGAGCACGCCGCTGCAGCCGGAGCAGCCGCTCGCCGCTCCGCGCCCGCTGCGCAAGCCGACTCCTCCGCCGCCGCCGCGGCGGCGCGCGCCTCCCGCGCGGTCTCCGCCGCTGCCGCGGCAGCGCGCGCGCGCCCCGCGCGGCTGCCTCGGCGCGGGCGGCGGCGGCCGCGGCGCCGCCCATGGCGAGCTGCAGCTCCATGGCGGAGGTGGAGGCGCCCACGGGCCCGCGCCCGCTGGGCCTGCGCGCGGGCTGCGGCCGCGCCGTCCTGCAGCGCGCAAGACTGCCCAAGATGACCGCGCCCAAGAGGCGGTCCATGCGGACCCACAGGGCTCACAGAGAACCTCCATCAGGGATCGAAAGGGCCAACGGAATAGCTTTACTCACCTTCTCGGGTTTCCGTGAGCTCAGGACGGCCCACGGGGCTTTCAGGACGGCCTCGAGATGGCAAGGCCTCCGGAGAGCCCCGAACGGCCCAGACGGTTCCAGAATGGCCAAACAGCAGCCCTTGCGCCCTCCGGCGGCCTTTCAAAGTGTCCAGGGGCCCCCCAGACAACCCCGAGACCCCCAAGAACGGTTTCCGAATGCTCCAAGACGGCCAAACAGCCCGTCGGTCCAAGAACGTTCCCGGTCAGCCCAGGGAGCCCGCGAAAATCTCCGAGGCGCCCCGGAGACGCTGCCGAGACACCCCGCGAGAGATCCCAGAGAAGCACCCAGAAGCCCCCCCGCCCCTGGATGAAGGGATCGACCGAGCATCGAGGAGGAGGAGGAGGAGAAGGAGGAGGAGGAGGAGGAGGAGCAGGAGGAGGAGGAGAGGAGGAGGAGGAGGAGGAGGAGGAGGAGGAGAGGCGGAGGAGGAGGAGAGGAGGAGGAGGAGGAGGAGAGAGGAGGAGAGGAGGAGGAGGAGGAGGAGGAGGAGGAGGAGGAAGAGGAGGAGGAGGGGATCGAACAAGAAAACCACCCCAAAGGCCCCCCCGAAGCACCCCAACGGGCCCCAGTGCCGTCGAGGGGCCCGAGGTGTCGCGCGTGCAGCCTCCCGCCCCCCCCTGGAGGGGTCGCCAGCCAGAATGCGGTGCCTGCAAGGTGGCCGCATTGCCCTAGGCAGCGGGATAGAAATGCGCGCTTGCTTCTAGTGTGTTGCCATCTGCTGTGGTGCCTCACTGGACATACTAATACTTGCGACACCCCTCTCTAAAAGTTATCATTTATGTCTCTCTGTCTCTCGATGTCTCTGTTCTCTCTCGATATATACAAATACACACATGTATACATACACACATATATATATATATATATATATATATATATATATATATAATATATATATGCGTTCCTCCCTCAATCTGGTTGTTTTTCTCTCTCTCTCTGTCTCTCTCTCTCTCTCTATGTACCTCTGTCTACAGTACACATATGGGTATCGTTATCTTCGTTCCTGTCTCTCTCTCTCTCTCTCTATCTCTCTCACTTTCTCTATATTTCCGTTCGCTTTCTATACATGTGTGTGTATATAGATATGCGTGTATCGCCCTGTCTCCCTCTCGCGTTGTACGCATGCGAATCCAGCGATTTGAATATGTATGGCGTGATTTCAGCTGGTTGCCCATATGTATACACACCTATGTGCGCATATGCTTTATCATCCTGCCCCTGCCCTTCCTGGCCCTTCCTCCTCCCCCCATTCGGTGGAAACCCAAGGGAGCCTCCCATACCATATGTTTGACCCTTGCGAATCGATACCCACCGACGCTGACCCTAATCGACGCTAGATCGGCGCTATCTCTTCGACTACCAGACGCTAATCGGCGCCAGTGCGCTCGAATGACAAAATTACGAGGATACACGAGGCTTCCATGATTTGCTAATGACTCCCACTCCTTCCCCAATCCTCGCCCCCCCTCATTTCGGGGAGACATCGGAGTCGGGTTCGGGGGACTCGGGTTGGCCTGACGGGGCCGTCATGACACAGACGTGACGAGACACCGTCCAGAATCTGACGCGAATTCCAGGTGCAAATGTCACGAGAAAACTGAGCCTCCGAAAACCAGGACGCGCTCGTCAAAAGGCCTCGGCAAACCCGCAAACCCGAGTTCCAGCGCACTCGAGTCTTATAGTTGAGGACAGTCCACAAGAAACCACCCACAAGAACCCAACCATGAGGCCCCAGGACGTCCATCCATTTTTGGCGTGGGAACGTCACGCTGTCCATGGCAAAACCATCGGAACCCAAGAAACCCAGGGCACCTTGGAGGCAAGCAGGGTGTTTCTTGGCACGTTCCAGCACTGTAATGCCCATCTCTTCTGGTCGCTCTGGCGGAGCGTCCAAAGCCCTGGTTGGCGCTGTTCGGTTCATCGTATCGCGCAGGCATGCTTCTGCTACAGGTCTCCGTCGCCCCTCCTCCCCCCCCCCGCGTCAAGTCGCTGTGCCGTCCTGCGTGCGGCCCAACTCCTCTGGTCGCTCCCGGTGGAGCGTTCAGAGCCCTGGAGACAAGAGCGGCGTGCTTCTTGCCACGGACCTCCGCTGCGCGCTTCCCCGCCTCCTCCTCCTCCTCCTCCTCCTCCTCCTCCTCCTCCTCCTCCTCCTCCTGCGCTCGTACCACGGCGAGCACGGTCTTATCCACTGCTACTACTGCTGCTACTACTGGAACTACTGCTGCCGTCCTCCTCCTCCTCCTCCTCCCCTCCTCCTCCTCTCCTCCCTCCTCCCTCCTCCCTCCTCCCTCCTCCCTCCTCCCTCCTCCCTCCCTTATTGGCTGCGACGACGACGGCGGCGCGGCACGGCGACGGCGCACGACGACCCGCTGGGGGCCCTCCGCCGGCCAGGCGCGGCCGCGCCACGATGCGCCCCGCCCCGCCAGGAGGACGGGCGGCTTGAGGTCGGCGCCCTCCTGGGGCCCCTCGAGGGTGCCGTAGGTGCCTCCAGGGGGGCGCGCGGCGGGAGGGGAGGAGGAGGAGGAGGAGGAGGAGGAGGAGGAGGAGGAGGAGGAGGAGGAGGAGGAGGGGGTGGAAGAGGAGGTATGCAGAAGGGGGGGGGAGAAGGAGGTCGTCGCCGAACAGCCGCACGGCTGATGTCAGCGTTCTCGCAGAAAGGAGGGGGATGGTGGAGGAGGAGGAGGAGGAGCAGCAGGAGGATGACGGAAAGGAGGAGGGGGAAGGAGGAGGGAAAGGAGGAGGAAGGAGGAGAACGAGGAAGAGGGAGGAGGGAGGAGGAAGAGGATGGAGGACGAGGAGAAAAGAAAGGGGAGGAGGAGGAGGAGGAGGAGGAGGGAAGGAGGAGGAGGAGGAGGAGGAAAAGAAGGAGGAGAGGGAGGAGGAGGAGGAGGAGGCGGAGGAGGAGGGGGAGGGGGAGGGGGAGGAGGAGGAGGAAGAGGAAAGAAGGAAAAAGGTGAGGAGGGAGTAGCGAGGAGGGAGGAGGGAGCAGCATCAGGAGAGGGCGACAGGAGGGGGGGGGCTGAGCGGCGCCCCCCCCCCCTCCCCGAGCTTCTCGGCCCCCCCCTCAAAGCGCATCCTCCCCTGCCTGGGGCCACGACGGCGGCGCGGTCGGAAGGGGCCCAGGGTTTGCGCGGCCACCACCACCACCACCACCACCACCACCACCACCACCACCACCACCACCGGGAATAAGAGGAAGCCAGGACGAGGATAACATCTGGGAAGGATACATCGAGAATCTCTGGGATCTGGCGGCGCTGGAGGCTGTCTCGGGCGCCGCGGCCTTCTCGGGGCATTCGGGGACGCTCTGCGAGCGTTCCAGAACGCTCTGTCCACGTCCTCGCCCCGTCCGAAGAGGGGCGATGCTCCCCACCTCTCAGACGAGAAACCAATACAGTGGAGGCCAGTCCACAAGAGACCTTCCACAAAAAAAAACCCAACCCCGAGGCCACAGGTCGTTCCTCGATATGTTCGGTGTGGGAACGCCACGCTCTCCTTCGCAAGACCACCGAGGCCCAAGGCACCCTGGAGGCAAGCAGGGTGTCCGCTTGGCATGGGCCTCCACTGTACCACCGCCACCACCGAGGACCCATGTCGGGAGGCAGCTCCTGGGAGGCCTCCGCTCGATTGGCTCGAGTCGAGGAGGCCCGATTCGACGGGCGACTTCACGAGATCAGGCCAGACGAAACCTGGGATTAAGCCTGCCGGATTGCAGGAGCGGCCTCCCTGGCTCCCTCCTCCCTCCTCCCCCCTTCCCCCTCCCTCCCCCAGCCTCCTCCCTCCTCCCTCTCCCTCCCCCCTCCCTCCTCCTCCTCCCTCCTCCCTCCTCCCTGGGGCCAGGCTGGAGCAAGCAGGAGAAAGCGGGCTCGAGCCTGCCCAGATTGCACCGGCGATCGACCGCGGGAAAAAGCCAGCGCCAATGCAGAACTTCACCTCCCAGGAGCTGCATCCTACTGGGATGGCCGTGGGGGTTCCTAAGTGGATAGGGGGGTTTCAAGTGGATGCCAAGGTGGGTTATATCTGGCCCAACCTGGCTTATAAGTGGGTTACAAGTGCCCTAAGTAGCTTAGGGGGTTTAACGATCTGGGCTAGGTGGGCTCCGCCCACTTAGCCGAGTTATCGACCCCTCCTAAGCTATTTAGGGCACTTGTAACCCACTTATAAGCCAGGTTGGGCCAGATATAACCCACCTTGGCATCCACTTGTAACCCCCCCGATCCACTTAGGAACCCCCACGGTCATCCCAGTAGCCCGTGGGTGGGGGGGCCGACCCGTGGGCGGTGCACGCCGAGCGTCGCCCCGTACCGCCAGCAACGCTCCGGCGTCTGCCACCGCAGGAACCCGTCGCCCACCGATGGGTTCTCGGTGGCCGTGGTCCAGGGTGTCCCTCCGAACTTGTCCAAGGGGCAAGAGGAGGGGGGGGGAGGAGGGGGAGGAGGAGGAGGAGGAGGAGGAGGAGGAGGACGAGGAGGAGGGGGAGGAGGAGGAGGAGGAGGAGGAGGAGGAGGAGAGGAGGAGAAGGAGGAGGAGGAGGAGGAGGAGGAGAAGGAGGCGTAAGAGGGGGAGGAGGACCAGTGTAAACCCAAGAGTCACCAACGATGTTGGAGTAAACCCTCCCTCCGAGCTCCCTCTTCATAGGACCCTACAACGGTTCATGTCTAGTAAGGGAACTGGCTCGTTGAAATTCGCCGGCCCAACGGGCCAGAGGCGTGTTAAGATCTCCGGTAACTGCTCAACAATATTTCTAGTTCGAGCGCGCGGGGCGGGCCCTGGGGGTCCCCGGACGAAAAGTACCCAGGCAAAGTCCCGGCAAGGTCCCGGCAGACTCCCGGAAGACTCCCGGCAGACTGACTCCCGGCAAGGTCCCTTTTCGGAGCCCAGGAGGGATCCAAACGGTCCAAGAGAGGCCCGAGAAGCCCTCCAGACGGTCCAAGAGAGCCGGGAGACGCCGAAATATCACTCCAAAACGCCTGCGATGGCCTCAAGACGGCCCAACAGGCCTTCAAGACGCCCCAAGAGGTCCCTAGGCGACGCCCCAAGAGGGCTCCCACAAGCAAAAATCGTCCCATTCCCTTAGGAAAACGTGCATTTATAAGATATCCGCCTCTTCGTCTTTCACACCTTTCAAGGCGGTCCAAGAGGCCCCCAAGATCACCCCAAGACGGCCCGAGAGACCCTCAAGACCGCTCAAAGACGGCCCAAGAGCGCTCCAAGAAGGCCCAAGACCCTCAAGAACTCTTTTTCGGAGCCCAGGAGGGCTCCAAATCGGTCCAAGAGGGGCCCGAGAAGCCCTCCAGACGGTCCAAGAGAGCCGGGAGACGCCGAAATATCACCCCCAAGCGCCTACGATGGCCTCAAGACGGCCCAACAGGCCTTCAAGACGCCCCAAGAGGTCCCTAAGAGGTCCCTAAGCGGCGTCCCAAGAGGGCTCCCACTAGCAAAAATCGTCCCATTCCCTTAGGAAAACGTGCATTTTTAACATATCCGCCTCTTCGTCTTTCACACCTTTCAAGGCGGTCCAAGAGGCCCCCAAGATCACCCCAAGACGGCCCGAGAGACCCTCTAGACCGCTCAAAGACGGCCCAAGAGCGCTCCAAGAAGGCCCAAGAAACCCTCAAGAACTCTTTTTCGGAGCCCAGGAGGGCTCCAAATCGGTCCAAGAGGGGCCCGAGAAGCCCTCCAGACGGTCCAAGAGAGCCGGGAGACGCCGAAATATCACCCCAAACGCCTACGATGGCCTCAAGACGGCCCAACAGGCCTTCAAGACGCCCCAAGAGGTCCCTAAGCGGCGTCCCAAGAGGGCTCCCTCAAGCAAAAATCGTCCCATTCCCTTAGGAAAACGTGCATTTTTAACATATCCGCCTCTTCGTTTTTCACACCTTTCAAGGCGGTCCAAGAGGCCCCCAAGATCACCCCAAAACGGCCCGAGAGACCCTCAAGACTTCTCAAAGACGGCCCAAGAGCGCTCCAAGGAGGCCCAAGGAACCCCCAAGACGGTCCAAGAGGCCCCAAGATGGCCCCATGATTGAGGTCCACAGGGGCAACCTGAACGGAAATTTTGAAACCTCCCGCGCAAACACGCCCCCGAAATGCCCCTACAAGCCCCCAAGTAGCCCCACGAAGCCCCCAAGAGAGCCCCAAGAGGCCCCCAACAGGCCGCAAGAAAGCCCCAAGAGGCCCCCAAGAGACCCCCAGGAAGCTCCCAGGAGGCCCCCAAGAGGCCAGGCAGACCCCCCCAAGAGACCACCAACAGGGCCCACCCAGAGCCATCCACGAGGCCTCCCAAAGTTCCCAAGAAGCTCCCACGAAGCTTCCAAGGGTTCCCAAGACCCCCAAGACCCCGCGATGGCACAATACGGGCCGGCGGAATGAGCGAAGCGATTCAATATGCCAAAGCATTGTTCTCGGGATTCCAACGCCACGGATCAACCTGACTGTTGCGTCTTGACGACCCTGAATCGTGCCAGAACGCCATTCCTGGAACTTCAACACAGAGATTTAACGTGACCGTTGCACCCGCATAGGTCCATAATCCTTCCAAAACACAATTTCTGATACGTTGGTGATGGGAATCCGTGAAACTCTTGAACATGTTGTAAACGAATGTACGCGGCGCTGAAGCGAGAACCACATTTTGAAAAGAAGCCGCCCTCAATCCGTGAAACTCTTGCACATGTTAAAAACGAATGTTTGCCGCGCTCAGGCGAGAACCACATTCTGAAAACAACTCGCCCTCAATTCTTGAATCGTTGGCGAATTTCCAAAACGAATGCGCGCCGCGCTAAAGCGAGAGCCACATTTTGAACACCACCCGCCCTCAATCCTTGACGCCGTTGCAAATGTTTGAAAAGGAACGTGCGCCGCGCTAAGGCGAGAGCCACATTTCAGAACTGCCCGCCCTCTATCTGTGAACTGTTGCCACTTTGAAGCTTCAGAGCCATAGGCGGTGAGGATGTCTCGGGCGAAACGCCCGGCCCGCCCTCAAGACTGGCCTCGGGGTGCGACAGGGAGAAATCATCAGAAGGAAAGAGAATGGAGGAGGAGGGCGAGGA